CTGTTTCAGTGTGGGATGGATTGAAAGGAGAGATGAGGCTTTTGGGGGCATCCTGAAGAATGTGATGCTCTGTAAGGATGGTCATTTTGCCTCTCGACCACAGACCTGAAGAGGCTGCAGACACACTGGAAGGTCTGAACCTTAGTCTCACCTCAACTGCAACCTGTGACATGCATAAACAAACAAACAAACAAACAAACAACTGATCTTTCTTTGCCCTGCACCCCTCATCACAATGCTTCTAAAATGTATAAAATTTCCCTAAGTGACAAGAGACTTGTTATTCACAACCAAGTGCCTTTCAACCATGTCAGAATTTATGCTAATAAGTGACTCTTGGTGGGGATTCAGGTAACTTCAGCATGGAGACTGGTCACCAGAAGGACTACTTCAAAATTTGAGGGCTGGAATTTTAAGAACCACTCTCTATGCCTGAGGAGTGCAGGGGAACTGAAGATTGATCACCTACGGCCACTGCTTGGCATCAATCATGCTGTGTAATGCCACTTCCATTTAAGGTCCTAGACCATAGGCTTCGGAGCTCTTCCTGAATGACGTTTGAAGTGGAAAATGGTGGACCCACAGAGGGCATGGGAGCTGGGCAGACAGACCACCACATGACTCTCAGAGTTCACTGTCTGAACCTCTTCTCCTTAGCTGCTCCCAGGTTGCATTCTTTTTTGTTTTTGGGGAGGTTTGGGGTTTTTTGTTTGTTTGTTGTTTTTTGGTTTTTTTCAAGACAGGTTTTCTCTATATAGACCCGGCTGCCCTGGAACTCACTCTGTAGCCCAGGCTGGCCTTGAACTCACAGAGATCCGCCTGGCTCTGCCTCCCAAGTGCTGGGATTAAAGGCGTGCGCCACCACCGCCTGGCTCTGCGTTGCATTCTTGAACCAAACAGATATACTTAAGCAGTGTGTTCTGAGTTGTTTTTTGTTTTGTTTTGTTTTAAGGTTTGTTTTTATTTAAAGTGCGCGTATGTGTGTGTGAGGATGCCCTGGAGTGGGAGTTAACAGACACTTGTGAGGTGAGCTGCCATGTGGGTGCTAGGAATTGAACCCAGGTCCTCTGGAAGAGCAGCCAGTGCTCTTAACCGTTGTGTTATCTCTCTAGCCCCTCTGAGTTTATTTAATTATCAAACCTGAGGAGAGGGTGTGAGAATTCTGGGTAGTAAGAGGTATAGGTAGCCCACGATTTAGAAGTGGCAGATGAAATGGGGACAGTCATGGGGGACCGAGCCTTTAACTTGGGGATCCAATACCAATCCTTAGTACACAGCACTAGAATTGAACTGATTCCTTGAACACAGAACAAATGAACCACACAGCCCCTCTAAAGCTGCAAAGGATCAAAGGCCCCAGAGGAACAGCCTTGCTGTCACCCTGACTAGGGTCAGATGCTCCTTCAGACAGATGTCCAGAGCCTGGAGGAAATCAGGCTCCTCTTTTAAATACTTGAAACCAGAGTAGTTGGTGCACTCTAAATGAGGTTTTTAAAATTCAATTCCCTCTTATTGCTCGTGTAGATCTGAAATGATCTGACCAGATGGCTGGCGCTCTGTAATTCTTGGATTGCTCTCATCAGTTGTTGATGATTTCCATTTTTTTTTTCACCCATCACATAAACGTGTTCCTGCACAGACTTCCTGCATGCTCCCATTGACTGGGCTCTAATACCATTATTTCAGGGATTCTCACAGCCGCCTTCAAGTCAAATCAGGCCATAAGAAGTCTCAGGTTGAGCTTGGCTGTGCTTTCCTGAGCCCAGAGGGGCCAAACAGGTAGGACTGGGGTGGCCTGTGTCCAGGTGTCCTCCTCACCTCCACTTCTGCTGCAAGTCCCCAAAGAAAGGGAGCAAAGGTGAAGTTTGTAAATGAGAACATATTGAGTATGTCCTGTTTGTCAGGCCCTTTGAGAAACAGCTTACACACACACACACACACACACACACACACACACACACACACACACACACACACACACACCTTGCTTTATTCTCATAACACTTCTGAAGTTATTACTCACATTCCTATTTTCAGCTATGGAAACCAAGGTTTAGAGACTGAGCAGCCTGAGCACCCACAAGCTCAGGCCCACTGGGTTCTCGGCACTAGAGAGGGCCCTGGCCCGGGCCCTGCCCCACCAATGGCCTTTTTGGTGTTTCTGTATTGTCCGTGAGGCTGTAAGCTCAGACACAGGGGGCTCGGGTCTATTTTGTTCCTTAGGAAGACCGCATGGCACAGGGTTTAAGCTGGGCTTTAGCTGTCTGGATTTTGACTCTTCCAGTTGTTGTTTGTCTAAGTAATTTCCTCTTGCTGAGAATGAGCTTTGTCTGTAAAAATGAGGGTAGTTTCAGCATCAGAGTCAAGGCTTAGTAAATGTGAGCTCTTATTGATATCTCAGCTACAAGAATAGCACCTGGCACAAAGTGGGGTCTCAGGAAATGCTCAGGGAAGACAAGTCATGGGATCTGGCTGTGACCAGTGTTTTACACTGACAAGTGGCACAGGATCCCGGGACCCAGGCGTCCTCAGCTCCAGGACAAATGACTCAGTTCCCTGCCCACAACCAAGAGGACCCGCCAGCAAGCAGCTTTCCCCTGCATGCTCACAAGCAGCTGCTGCTGGATCCACACGCAAACGCTGGTGCTGCGCCTCCGCTAGGTGAGGCAGATCCCAAAATAAACCCAAGACAGAGAGACAGAAAAACCCCTTCCAGGAACAGCAGCAGCTCCCAGGGACGACACTGACAGTAGTAACCGAGGCAGGCAGGCTGCAGGGGAAGTAGCTGTCTCAGTGCTGTGTGCTGAATCAAGTTCCCACCTGGCCTAGTGGGAAGACCTGAAAAGTCATGTGCTATCCCCTAGTGCGCCAGGCTGCAGCAGGTGGTCTGGCAATCTGCCTTCCAAGGAGCCTAGCCCACAACTCATAGTCTCTATACTCTAGCATTCTTCCCTTTGAGGCAAAAGGAAGTTAGAGGTACAGCCTTTCCTTAAGAGGCCAAATGTTCTTTGAACAACAGGGCAGAACTGGTAGGCCTAGACAGGATCAACAACTATCTATATAAACTTACCATTTTCTTTAAAATCCTCCAAAGTACCCACCATTTTCCTGTGCCTGCCTCTGGCTCTCAAGCAAGAAAACACTCCACTAAACTTTCTGTTTGTGTTTATCCCTACCCTCTTCAACTGCCATTGGAGGAGAAAGGGAGACCATTTCATAACCATCAAAGTCTTTCCTTCACACCCCGAGTCCCCCTCCCCGGGTAAGACCACTAGGAGAAGAAGGCTGTGTGCTCATGCACCCTCAGAGGTGTCCAACTCCACAATTGGACTGAAGATATGTGCAAGTGAAAAACTGACCTCAGAAAACCAGAACACCGAAGTGATGCCTTCATGACATGCACTGGGTAGAAGACTTGGTATCCACAGTGTGCTCAGATGCAACAGCCTTTGCAGCAGCTTCAAGAGAATTTAGTACAGAAGCGTTTACAAGGAGCTCTTGAGAAACTACGGGGTAGAGGGTGTTGTCAAAGGAGCATCACGTTAAACGTAAGACAAGTGCTTCTCTCCAGTTCTCCTGAGGCTCTCAGAGCCCACTCCTCACTCCAGTCACACAGTCTCTGGCTCTTCCTTCCCAAGTATTCATGCAGCAGCTCTTGAGCCATTAGCCACAAGCAGCTCCACTAGGGCTAGGCAAGTCTCAAAATCAGAAGTATGAGCCCTGTTCTGTTCGCAGTATAGACCAAAGGCTTGAAGGAGGCTACTGACCCAGCCAAAGGAACAGAGTCGAAGTAGGAACCCAGAACATCGGCTCCAATCTATCCAAGCACTTGCCTGTTGAAAGAAAACCAGCGACTCTCCATAAAAGCAGAGGGCACAGCCACATCTTTACCTCCCCACTCCTGAGAGCCTCTCTAAGGTATTCCTCAGTGACCAAGTTCTGTTCCCAAGGAAGCTGAGAGAGGACAGGCAGAGTTGGACCTGCTGAATCAAAGGCCTCTGTTCTTAAACTTCCCTCTGCCTGACGCCATTAGCTCCCACTGGGCTTCTCTGGTGCTTCAGCACTCTCGGGTGGCAGCGACTACCCACACGCAAGCCGAGCAGGAGCGGCACTGCTGGCCGGCATGGCAAACACTATCCCTGGCAGCACAGCAGCATGGGGGCCGTGAGGACACAGGGATGGACGGATCCAGCAAGGACTGATGAAACCGCACTACGTCTACTGCCAGGCCTGGCCGTCCCCTCTGCCATGGTCCAGGACACCAACAGCTTGCACCTGAGGACAGCCAAGGGCAGCTGGAAATGGGAAGGAGGTGGGAAGAGAGCAGACCAAGGCTCTGAGGTCAATGACACATGACAAGTTAGATAAATAACAGGACAAGTTATCCAACCTCCCTGAGCCTCAGTATTCCCACTGGGTAATAAAGATAGTAACAACTGTATTGCTATGAAATCAAAGACCTCACACCAGGAAGTCAGCCACACACTTGAATATGGTACGCATTTCCCAATTACAGACTACTGTCATTATTACCTGAAACCCTTGACTCAGGGTCATAAAAGGGTTAGAAAGTTGTTCCTTCTGAAGATGCCCCAATTATGATCAGGCAAGGACCAGCCCCTTCTTTTCCTTGGCATGGGTTCCTTTAACAGAAGATCTGGGGCCCTGCACCAGTGCTCAGGATTCTCCCATGAACACTAACTATTTCAGCAGCACTGAGCAGAGCAGCAGAGCCCAAAATAGCATTTGCAGAGCAAAGCACATGTCACTGCCTCTCCTGTGCTTCAGAAGTGCAGGGAGACAAAGTTTCCCATCACTTGCTCAGAAAGCGCGGCCACCCACCACAAGCCTCCCTTCCAGGGCACTCATATGCCACAAACTCTGCTAGAAGATGACGGTCCCCAGGCCCCACTCTGATGGTCACCACGAGAATGGCTGCTCCCAACCTTCAAGAACAAAGGACCTTTGTGTATTTCAAAGGAACAGAGCGGGTCTGGTACCTGGTCGAAGAACCTGCCACTCTTGAGTCGGCTGAAACACCTCCAGGATCTCAGAGTCCAGCTCCTCTTCTCCTCTGGTTTCCTTTGTCTCTGATTCCTTGTGGATCCTCTTCTCTGTGCTGGTGAGCGCAAAATTATTCTGAGAAAAGAAAATAGTGCATGACCCACCACTACAAGGGCCCAGGCAAGAAGAGCAACAGCTTGAGACCCTCCGCTCTTCCTGTCTGCACCTCCCACCTTCAGACACGTTTAGACACTTGCAGTTCCTTTCACAAGGTCAGCCCAGAACCAGCGTGTGAGGTGATATGGTCTGGAGTATATACAGTACTTTTATACATGTATAAGGAATACCCCCAGAAGATTCCATACTCTCTTGAGGGGGTAACTAAATGCTAGGGAGAAGGTTAGCACAGTCGCTACTTTCTAGTTAACTTCTTGCTACAGACAAGCTGGTTGGTGGCCGAGGGCTACTTGATTCCCAAGCAGTCTGGCAGACCCACTGGGGACCAATAGGGCATAAATGTCCTGAAACATTCCAAACCATGGAGTAAGAATTCCAAGTGGGAATGTGGGTTCTAACTGGGCCAAGGCAAGAACATGTCCAAGTAGGAAACTGCTTCCCCAAACATGCTTCTTTCTAATCATGAACACCAGGGGAGAATAAGATGAAGTCTGTGGAGCACTCAGAGAGTGGGAACATGAGCACCAAGTATTATTCATTTTGCTTCTTCCTGGTATCCCTTTTTTAAAGTTTATTTTTATTTTATGTGTATGAGTGTTTGCCTGAATGCATGTGTCTGCGTGTGAGCAAGTGCGCATGTGTGCCTGCAGAGCTGGCCTCCCACATTTAAACCTGTATTTGCAGGAAAGTAGTCATGTGAGCCTCAAGAGCCTGGAAGCAGAGGGTTCCAGAGCTCGGGGCAGTGACATGTGGGACAGTGAGGGAGCTCACACCAGCACACAGGGGGCTGTCCCTGCCTCCCAGCTCTGCATTACTCTTCATCCCTTTCCCATGGATTTCTTCGAGTCTCCCCTTGAGCCACGTCTGTGCTGAGGACTTCACCTCGGTTTGATTTCTCAACCATTCTAAGCCTCCTGGGAGGTGTCATGTGCATACACTCCCTCAAGCAGCACCCCAGCACTAGAAAGGGACTCCCACCTGCCTGGGACCCACAGTGTCTCGTCTTTAATTAGCTGTCAGAAGAAAGGTTAAGGTGTTAAGGTATTGCTGATGACAATACAGAACCCTTCTAAGAATTTTCACATTTTAACTAGAAATAAAAGCATGAAATTTAGGTGGCAGAATTTCACACCTTGTTAAGGACCAGAAAGGAAAATATCTTGAGCAAAAAGAGGCTCTTAAATCATCTCACAATTAATGAGATCACTGACTATGGCATAGAGGTAAAGAACTCAAGCTCTCTGTCATATAACACAAAATTCATTGTTTTGTGTGATTCTGAGCAAGTTATTTAACTTTTGAAGACTAGGTTTCTACACCTGTAAAGTAGAAATAACAATCTCTAGTTCATATTTTAGATGAGATACTGTAATGCAAGCACTAGCCCTAACAACATTGTACTTATCATCATCACGGTCAAGCCCAGCCTCAGTTACATAAGCAAGTGCAAGGCCAGTGTACACTATATAAGACCCTGCCAATGGGGAAAGGAAGAAGGGTCAGGAGAGAGAAAAGTGTGTAGAAAGGAGAAGAAATAAGAGACAGAGGGAGAGATTGAGTATGAATTAAGAGCAGGATAGGAGATGTGTCGTGAGGCTACAGAAGAGAGCCTGCCAGGAAGATGTGGCCATTCAGGATTGCCAACTGCCAAGACTCCTGGGGCAGGTACTGGGTCCATCTGTTATCACTGTATGCCCAAGACCTATCACCCAAGACTTAGTTCATAATGGCTGAATGAGTGAGTGAGTGAGTGAATGAGTGAATGATGAATGAATGACACTTCATAGGCAGGTGTGACTTTGGGGCCTTAGAATAAGGCAATCCCCAACCCCTGAGTCTTCTGCAGACAGGTAGTAAGCAGTACCATATTCTAGAATAAGACTACTTTATCTAAGTACCCAGAACCTATGTACTCTAGGACCAAGCCATGCAAAGGCAGCCCCTGGCCAAAAGCACTAGGAGACAGGATTAGAACAATATTAATAAAAATTACCTCCGAGCTGTACAGATCAAATCCTCCAGGAGCCAGGCAGGAATGGCCGAAAATGAGTGAAGCGGGCCAGGTGGGTACGGCAGGGAGCACCAGGCTGTGAAGCGCAGCCCTCCCCCCTCACCAAGGCAGCTGCCACTCCTCCGTCCGGCCCTAGCACACAACTTGAACACACAGAAATCTGCTCATGTTCAGCATGTAAGAAGACCAGACCAAACACCCAAGTTTTAAACTGCAGTTTTGCTTTAGTTACCAAGAGGTAATTCCTGGATGTGTGACAGTGAGCAGGAGAATAATTCTCATAACCTAGAGGAGCAAGAAGTCCTTCGTTGTATGACAGACTTTTTGTGGGGAGATGCAACACACAGGCCTACTTGTGTCAGCAAAGGACCCCAGGACAGACCAAAGTATGACTGCATCGAAGTCCCATCTGGTGAACCAATGAGTTTGTTTGCTGAGGTTACTGTCAGGAGTATTGGTGAGGGATCACTCACTATAAGGGGTGGTGGTAACTCAGAGGCAGCGGCATTACCAGAAATCCCACACCAGCAAGGGTACCCACTCCCACAAAACCTGCCGCCCTGGTGTCCTCCACACAGCTTACATGCACCTCCACAGTCTCGGTCTCTGCAGTCTGGGTGGTCAGTCTCCACCCACACCCACCCCTGAACTGCTCACTCCCTTTTACACCATGGTAGGCCCCCTAAGAATCTTCCCAATTTTTATTCTTCCTCTACGTGTGACCTGGTTACTTCCTCCAGCCTCCCCTCCTTGGGCAAATGTTACAACTTGGAGGGGATGCTGTAATGTGGGGAACATGCCATTCAACGCCCTTTAAAGTCCAGGCAGGACTAGCAGTGTTCATGCTGATGGCTAGGACATAGGAAAAGCTGCTTTTCTGGATTTCATTAACAAAGGTAACAGACCAGGTTCACCAGCAACAGAGCTGACTACAGGTACCTGACATGCTTCCCTCCATAACAAAGGACCGACATGTAAACAATAGCTTTCGCACTAGTTAGTATTCGAGGTACAGACTTGAGTGTGGTGGGGATGCGGCAGAGACATTACAAAGAATGGAGATGCATCCTGGTCTTGTTAAGAAGGGAACCAAGTACACACAATCTACTGTCCCTCTCAACTAGAACCACTTGGTGGGGAAAGAGCAAGCAGGAGGCCCCCACAGTCCTCACTCAGGCCACTGACCATTGACAGACAGACACCTGAAGCACTGACTGACTGCTGGAGAAGCCTGTCACTCTTACGGGTCCTGAGCCCAGTCCGGAGAGCTGTCACTGAGTTACCGTGGAGAATGAACTCAGCCATCCTGTGCCTTCCTCTCCACAGGCTCCTGTGCTGTCTTGAGGCTTTGCCCACTTAGGATCCTGGGGAGCAGTTAGCCACAGTTTAGCCAACTCAGCCCTGGAGGCAGAATGACAAGCAGCACTGAGCAATGGAGCTGGTTAAGCTCTGTGTGCCCCAGGAAGCAGCTAGGCTGTGCATTCTTGGGATCTCTGCCTCCTGGAGGCCCTGCAGAGCACACAGCCAGCCTGCCTTAAGCACTGTCACTAGGCAACCATTGGTCACATATACAAACTCCCTTTCTGGGTCCACTGGTGCGACCCTGCGCCTGTCCAATGCTCAGACACATGGTCCTCGCAAACAGACCGGAACCACGGTTCTGCTGCCCTGCTGCTTCCTGTGTGCAGGCCCTCTAGAGTAGCCAGCAGAAACTGACAGGCAGTCCACACCCACAACCAAATATGCCACACCCAGAGCTGCCAGCAAATCCACCTAAGAGAATTGAGGTGCAATCCACCAATTCCTGCAGCCTAGGCCACGAACACACCTCGGACATCACCTATACTGATTACAGCTGAAGAAGCTACAAGCTCTAAAGTACTCATCTAGACCCAAAGTCAACACAACCTATGCTGTTGGTATCCCAGCGCTCACTGTCAGGGCTGCACACACCTGTGATCTCAGCATTCTGGAGGACACTGCAGTAGGAGAATCTCAAGTTTAAAACCAGCCTGGGCTACAAAACAAGACACTATCTCAAAACAAAATAAAACAACAAAACAGAAGCTACCCTGGGGTGGGATGCAGAGATGGCTCAGTGATTACGAGTACTGCTTGCTCTTCCAGAGGACAAGTTCAATTCTCCACACCCTCATGGTGGTTCACAACTGTCTGTAACTCCAGTTCCAGGGCATCTGACAACCTCTTCAGACCTCTGAAGGCACAGGATATACACAGAGTACACAGATACAAATGTAGGCAAAAATACACAAAATATAAATATTCTTTTAAAAAAGCTACCCTATAAAATTAGTAGAAGTGCCCAGTGCGGTGGCACACGCCTTTGATCCCAGCACTTGGGAGACAGAAGCAGGCAGACCTCTGAGTTTGAGGCCAGCCTGGTCTACAAAGCAAGTTCCAGGACAGTCAGGGGTTCCCTGTCTCAAAACATGACTCCACCACCACCACCACCACCACCACCACCACCACCACCACCACCACCACCACCACCCCCGCCCCAAAGATAGAAGCAACTAAGCCACCAAATGCACAAATATCAATGTGGAAAAACAAGCAGTGTAAAAGCAAAAGTAACACCATGGCTAAAATGGAACAAAATAACAACAAACACAAGGAAAAGGAAATTAATGAACCACCTGAAAAAGAATTCATGATAATGGTCTTAAAATTTAATGAGATAATACAATACAGATATCACAACAAAATCAGGAAGAGAATTCATTACATGAATGATAAGCGCAGCAGAGAGACAGATTAAAAAGAAACAAATCTACAGCTAAAGAATTTAACAAGTGAACGAGAAATACAGTGGAGACAGCCTTAGCAATCAGGGAAATGCAAATTAAAGTAACTCAGATATTCTATCTCACCCCAGTCAAAATGCCTACCATCAAGAGAAACGACTGGGAGCTAAAGAGATGGCTCA